AGAACACCAGCAACAAATAATACAAAGTACCATTTCCACATTAGTCTCATCAACTTCATCTGAAAATTTTAACCAAAATGGAAAAGAGGCTTTATATCCAGAATCTATTGCAAAGCAATGGGACTTTGTCCCTACTACTCCCCTCAATACAGAAATAAAAAAGAGAAGTTCCAAATCCCGGTCTAAATCTGTATTATGTAATAATGAGCTCCGCTCTCGCGTATCCGATCCAAGACCTAGCAGTAACTCTATACCAGTTAATACTGACATCTCTATTGCAAAGCAATGGCTCTCCGAGCCTACAGAAAAAATAAGTAGTGAGGATCTGGATGCATTATATGAAAAAGAAGCCAGAAGAGATAAGAAAAATAAAGCAAATATGACTCGCCTATTAGCTTCTACTTAGTTTATCTTTTCTTTATTTATGCTACCATCTCTAGATGAGATACATTCGAGTAGCTTTTCATAACGCATTTGCAACTTTTCACAAAGACCATTTATTTCAGCTTTAGACTGGAGAGTAATATATAGTGATTTTTCTAACGCCTCATAGCTCATGCGTTTTTTTTTTAAAAGCCGAATTATTGCAAATCAATGGGACTTTGTCCCTATCCTGAATTGCAGTTGCATAGTTCACTTCAAGTTTATTCTTGACTTTGTGCATAGTTACCGGGATAATAAATTTTTTGTCATTGTAGTAAATCTCCATTTTATCATTGCCCCAATCTATGGTACATTTATATTTCTTGAGAAGCGGATTCGGGAATATTAACATTGGCTTATGGTATTTTACAACCACAAAATCTTCATATATGGTACAACCAGAAGTTAGTGTGATAGGTAATTTACGTACAATACCAATAGATTCAATTGGAATAGTGGCAATACCACTTAGATCATATTTTTCTGATTTATCTATTTGTGCACTCACATGTTTAACAATATCTTCTGTTATAATTGCCATTTCAGCACCACTATCAAGTAGCATTGCAGGGATTTTTAGGCGCTTTATCTTACATTTTATAGTTGCAAGGCTTGTAGTGGATTCTTTTTTTTTCTGAATGAAATCTATCTCCATAGGATCGTCTAGCGTTTCATCCTCTCTATCCGAAGAATCAAAGATTCGAGACTTTGCCTCATCGGGTATTTCTGGAACTGGCGAACGATACTTATTATCTTGAATAGGGAGTGGCTTTTCTGTGAGAACAGGCCTTATGGGGTTGAAATTGGATTCAGGACTTTGAAGCATATATGATGGCAATAGCTCTTTTAATATTCCCACAACAATTTCGCGGATTTCTTCTGGGGAGGTCTGCTTTGACTTGTGAGATTTGGGCTTCTTTTTAGATGATGATTTATTTGATTTACTCTTCCGCTTTACTTGTTTTTTTTTGCTTTAGAGACGTGTATATTAATACTATGATCAGATTCAGCTGAGGATTCTTCAGAACCCGTCCCAGAATCGGATTCAGAATCAGAATCGGAATCGCTACTAGAAGAATTGTTAGTATCAGAACCAGAATTTATAGAAACCTTATTGACATTACCTTTCTTCTTAGACCTGCTTTTCTTTTTTCAAGGACACTTGCGAGAATTATGTCCAGTCCTATTACAGTTTGAGCAACGGTGTTGCGACTTCGTAGCTTTTTTAACAGCTCTAGCTACATGTAATTTTAATTGCTTTTGTGTGAGGTTGGCCAGTTCTTCATCCGAATCGACTTCGTCATTTTTTAAAACATTTCCTCCATTTTTCTTAGGCAAGAAGGAAGAAAATTTATCAACTACTCCTTTAGTAATTGTATCTATTAAAGATTGTAAAGTAGATGGACCTGCTAAAGCACTAAGACGATCTGTCGCACTATCCATTCGAAGCTATTCTTGATCATTCAAGCGTAGGTTTGGGTCACTATATATTTTATCTAGTTCCATTTGACTAGGACGTTTCAACTTGTTACCTGGCGCAGATTGAGTAGATGCTATTGTATTTCTTACCAACTCTTCGATTTCAGTTTTAGTCATCACCAATTTGTTAGTATCTAGATTATGGGTTTTCCTTGTTGATACCAAATCTGAATTTGAATGCAGATAAGCTCCAGATAATTGCTCGGCCTTATATCTTTCAATCTCTTCGAGTTCTGTGAGCAATTCAGAAACAGGCCTGTTAATTCCAATGCGTCAAATTTCTAATTGGTTATCGGGGGAGATGCTATGAAGAAATTGTAATCGAATTTGTTGTTCATCAATGCCAGCGAGTATAGCCAATTTACGCAATTTTGAATAGAAACGACCAACAGGATCACTACCCTGAACTGCTGATCCAAAGATCATTCTTTGTTTCTCTGCAGTAACGGTTAGGTAGTTAGTCTTGAGCCAGTATATTACCTAACCAAGTCGAACCCCATCTGCCATCACAGATTGACCAACGTTGGCATTTGGTAGATTTATTACGCGATCAGTTAGACGACCATCAGCAAAAGACCAGTCCTCATCAAATACTGTATGAGCTAGAATAACAATATTTCCAGCTTGACCTGCAGCACCATGTCTTAAATTTGCACCAAGTTGCACCGCCGTTCATCCTTGAACCAGAGCTAAAGTGGCCTGCCCAGTGTTATCCAGTAAATTTTTCAGTTCCCAATTCTTTCTTCGAAGAGACCTTTCATACCAATCTTTGACATCGCCTTTAAGGCATGTTTCAAAAAGT